TGTATTTATGTTCGTATTTAATATTATATATTTATGTATGTGTATGCGTGTGTGTGTGTGAGTTAGAGAGAGAGAGAGAGAGAGTGTGTGTGTGTGTGCGCGCGCGCGCGTGTGTGTGTGTGTGTGTGTGTGTGTGTGTGTTTTACGGCGCTCGAAAATACATGAGGTCATAATATGGGCGCAACGGTACACATTAAACGTCTTTAGTTGGTAGGAAATTTTGAATTTTCCCCGGGTGGTGGCCGAAGCCTACTCTTACCGATTTTGGACCTCTAAGGGATCTTTAACGTGCGCAACTTGCTCACGGGGCCTTCGAGATTTTTAGCCCTTGTGGGAGAAGACGAGGTGTAGATCTTTCCCACCAGACGATCAGGGGTGTTGTTGAAAGACAGCAGTAAGAAGGGGCGGAGGAGTTGCAGAAAGATTGCAGAAAGAGTCTGAATCCAAGAGGAGGGGGGCAAAGGATGTGAGGGGGTGGGGGGAGAAAGAGGAGACGAAAGCAGAAGACAGAACATTGCTGGAGATTAGGGAAAGGGGGTGAAAGGAGACAATTTTAGAGAAGAAAGTTTTTCCGTCACTACCCGGATTCGAGCCCGGGACCTTTGAATAAGAGGGGGACACCTTAACCTCTTCGCCAAGAGAGTCACCCCCCCCCCAGGATTTTTGACCTACGATGTACATGTATAGCAGGGAGGAACAAAGGACAACCAAATTTCTGTTTCAGAAGTTTGTTTCTGAATTTGTGTGTTTGTTTTTGCTTTTTTGTTGTTTGGTTGTTTTTTGTTGCTTTTTTCTTCTTTTTGTGTACTTTCTTTTGAGCTCATAAAAACACAATTTAGTTCATTTAGAAGGCGTGCTTCGACCTTGCTTATCAGGGTCAATCCGGGCTGAGAGGGGTGCAATTACATCCCAGCAGAAAGACCGAGATACTTGATGTAATTTATCCACCCACGGGAATCGAACTCGGTTTTTCTGTGCGTAACAGCGAAGGGCCAAACCGCTACACCACAGAAGCCGGTAAAGTGTTCAAA